TTAAACGCAGCGACCGTCAAGTAATAACTCATCAACCAGAAATTGCTACGCATGCATTAACATATTTTAACACTTCATATATTGTACCCCTGAATAAGGTTCCTTTTAAGTGCATGCTACGGTTAACTGATTGCATATTTTAAAAACGGTTGCCCTTAGCAACTGGTCAAATTTTGTGATGTTTATGAACACTTCAGATTCCTATTTTTTCATGCGAAAATTGATTTTGAATGAAATTTATAATACACTTATGTATACGAAAGTTGTAAACTGATTTTGAATGAAATTTATAATACAATTAAGCTATAAACCAGTTTTTCATTGTTTGGGCAACCGTTTAATTTTTGAGATAAAGTCGTCATAAGATAGAATGAGCCGAAAGCTTTCGTTTTGACCCGGGGTTCTCGATTCGATTTTCAGCCGTTTTTAAGTTATGACGCAAGAGCGATTTTAAAACCTAAATTGCAAAAGTCAATAAAACCCTTAGATGTATGTACAAATGGAAAGATCCCTCTCGTCGCGCTGATTAAGAAACTATATAGTTTTATGGTTCTATTTCTTACCGTTTCTGAGATAGGAGAGTTTGAATAAGGCAGAAAAAATCGCTCATGCGTATAAATACGTATAACTTTTTCGTTACTGGACATAACATAGGCATGTTGCATATCAAACGAAAGTTCTTGACAAATGCTACAAGCTCGTACTGTCAAACCGAGAGTGAAATCACTCATGCGTAAAAATCATTAAAATAACTAAAATAAGCTTACCCCAGCCTTTACTCCTTGCCTATCAAACTATTTATGACAAGTTACGACAGGTTTAAACCGGTATTGCTATTTTTGATCAACCAATGAAATTCAAAGACGATGACGTCTAAAAATAGACAGCCTCGTTTTGAAACCACTCTTTTTCATTAACCAATGAAAAGTGGAGAAGGATGACTGGATAAATTTTGACATGTATCTAAAAAACGCCTTTTTTGTCTTTTATGCAACACTTTACGATATCGATTTTCAAAATATTTGTTTCATTTGATAGACCATGCCAAATGCTTCGAAATAAACCCTAGGTTCTCGATTCGATTTTTAGCCGTTCTCGAGTTATGGCCAATTAGCGATTTTTAAACCAATTTTTCAAAGTTCATAAAACCCTTAGATTTATATGCTGTTTGAAAGATCTCTGCGAGTAGATACAGAAAATGTATTATTATATGGATCTATCTCTTACTATTTCTGAGATAGGAGAGTTTGAATATGGCAGACAAAATCACTCATGCGGAAAAACGCGCATAACTTTTTCGTTTATGAACGAAACATAGTCGTGTTTGGTATCAAATTGAAGGTCTTGACGAGTACATTCAGACGCTGTTGATAATAAAGTTCATTCTGGAAGTCAAAATCACTCATGCGTAAAAAATATATATATTGGTTACTAGAGCAACCGAATACGATATGATTTTTAATTGTTGACTACCAATTGAAAGAACAGTTCAATACCTTTAATTTACACCCCTATTGTCGATTCGATTTTCAACTGTTACAGAGTTATTACGTAACAACGATTTTTAAACCCAAATTTTCAAAGTTTACAAAACCCTTCAATTTATATACCGTTAAAAAGATCTCCATGAGTAGATTTAGAAAATGTATAGGTTTATGGGTCTATCATTATGAGTTACTGAAATATTACAGATATATACTTAGTGTATTTTAACCACCGATGTTAGATAAAGCGTTATTGCACTAAATTGTTTGAAAATATTCAAGCGAGTGTGGCGTCCTTATTTATGGGTCGATTTTATCCATCTTGGTATCAAATTAAAGGTATTTAAAAGTACTTTCAGACGCTGTTGATAGTAAAGTTCATACTGGAAGTCAAAATTACTCATACGTAATAAATATATATTTTTTATATTGAACTTACTATAATTCACTTATGCATGAATCGATTTTAATGATATTGGTCAAAGAAAATCAAGGTATGATTTTCTATTTATAGGTCATGAAGTCATGAGCTAAAAATAACTTGCAATCAAATGCTTGAATAAACTGATCAATCAAGAGAAACCTTCATGTATAAAGAAATACAGAATCTAAGATTTTTCTCATTCTGTCTTTAGAATTCTAACCCTCAAGATGGACTATGATGATTTCGGGACTGAATATACACCTACAGACTTGTGTCAAGTCGACCAAATGGAACAAGCATTTATGACATTAAGCTCAAAAACTACTGAGAAACTTAATACTCGGGCAGAACTGAAAAGTTATTTTTTAAATAACGCGGTACCTAGTTCATTGTCAATGTTGGCAATAAGTATGGGTGTTCCTTTCCGGGTGTATGACTGTATAGAGGTCGATTTTCAACGCAAGTGTTTACATAGAATGAATGAACTGTTTAATGTATGGTATCCACGTGCAAAAGAAATAGGACAGATGAATGGATTGTTACCTGTACATATACTGGTTCATGTAAAGTATACACACCCCCATTTTTTATATTCAATGCCTGTATCCGATACAAATATGAAAGAATTCGTTCACGAAAATGGACAACAAATTTCTAAAGTTATTGATCATATTCACAGTGTCTTGGAGAAAAGAAGCTCTATCTTGAGAGAGAACAGTTTAAACTGAAAACGACATACATAAAAGCCCATTATGTAAAATGATATATAACTTTGTAATTATATATGTTACCATATAGAAAATAAACATATTTGACTTGAAGTAGTATTTGTCTTCTTTATATTTTAAGCGTATCAATCAATTACATTTACATGGTATCATTATACATAACAAGGCAATATTTTTCTTTACAACCTTTTATTGGGTACCTTTACATTCATTATACATGAAACTAAAATAAAATCGAATAAAATCGTCATTCAATTTCCTGCATTGTACATCAAATTGTGTTAAAAGGTCTTTTATGTTTCTATACATGATGTAATATACACAATATAGTCCGCATATTTTCGAATTTGAATCCTGTATTTGACTGCAATTCATCCAGTAAGGCTCTTTTCAACAATTCCTCAAAGTGAACAGTATACTGACTGGGTCGTTTACTCAATGAATTAAAAGACTTGTCTGGTCCACGACCTAATATTTTCCAGATCCTTCACTCGTGTCTGTATTTGAAATCACAAATCTTCCTTTTTGTTTATGAATTTCAACAGCCGCACACACTGTCACTAGGTACTAGTATCTTTTCAATATATTTTCTAGCTTGTAATTATCCATTTTAGAAAGTGAACCGAGTCCAGTCAATATCCGTTTTACGCTTCTTAGGCGCCGACTTTTCTATATTGGAATCACGTAATCGTTTAACTTCCGACTTTGCCATTTCAACCGCTTGTGTCACGGGGCTAACCATATTGACCACAGGGCGTTGTGCATTTTGAAGATTCTCTTCCGTTTCTTTAAGCTTTTTCTCCGTTTCTTTGAGTTTCGTTTCTAGTGTCACGAGCCTTCTACGCGAATTACCGCTACCGATAATGTAACGGCCTCTATGATCGGGTGTCACGTAACCGTCTCTCAAATCTTTAAAATGCTGATACCATTTCTCTGAGTCATCTATATACGGCACCCATTTTTGTTGTGTATGATCGTAGACCTCTATGGAACCCATGTTGTGTTTTGAAAGTAAAGGAGCAAAGATCATTCTTACGGTATTTTTATACTTCATCTAATAAGTTATCTTCATCGTCATCATCTTTATTATTCTCACCATTACAATCCTTGATGTCGTGATTGGGCCATAACGTCTCAAACAGGTCTTTTCTAAGTTTAACGGCTTGTCGGATAGATTCTTCAATTGTCATGTCGTGCTGATGTCTAAGTTTCTCCGCTGACTGGAGAATTTGTTGCTGAGAGGGGTCTTCTTTTAATGCGTAAAAGTCAATCAAAAACTGGGCATAATTTTGTCTCATCTTCTTTCTCAAATGTGGCAACACATCATTAGCAGTGCGAGCATAAGCCTCATCAAAAGAGAATTCTTGATCTATGTAACTGTTTAGCCCGTCTTTAAATTGTTCTTTACAAAACTGTCGTAATGGCTTTTGAAATCTTCTATCCCATATGTTATGACGTTTGCGTTCTTTTTTGAGCTCTTCTTTTATACGCTTACCAGGGGGTCCCGTAAAGAAAGACTTTCTTTTCATTCCAATATTTTCGTCGTCTGACTCATCCACCTCCTCCTCCTCATAATCATCATCAACATCATCATTTAAAGTATTGTCAAACAAGTTTTCTTCTCCACTAATCTCATTTTCGGAATCATCCGCAGGCTGTCTTTTCCTACCTTGACTTTCAAAAATGTTTTCGCGCAAACGGTCATGTTCTGGAGTAGAGGATTTCAAGTCTACCACTAGATAACCGTGCGGTCTCGATGTCGCTCGTTCGAAGCGTTTCATAAAGATGTTATAGGAGGAAGGATATATTCTCCTCGCTAACGTAGCCACCTGCTGTCTGTCAATAGGGTTATTGAATAATACTAGGTACTGCGTATTCAATGCAATATCTCTGCAGGCTTTTCCTTGAGGAAATAAATTTTGAGTCAGATACACGATAGATATGTTCCTGTGGTGACTGCCTTTGGTAAAAAGATCGGCAATTCTCTGGTCACATTTGGCCTCTGTCATCAAATCGTCAAAAACGATCAAGTTCCTTTTACGCCCGTCAATATACTCTGGACTATTCAAGTAGTCGGGAATGCCATGTACAAATTCTATTCCGGGTATTCTACGCTGAAGTTCGTCGTATAGAATCTGCCATTGACCGTAACACCAAATGATGCGCTCCGGTGGCGGACTTACTATATCGGATAAAAGCAATGTTTTTGTCCATTCAGTTTTTCCGCTACCGCTAGGCCCGGAGACGACCATCGAAAACGGATGCTGAAACGTCATCTTTTCTGACCCAGGGGTTATTTGTGGTGATGGATGGTTATCTCTTACAATTTTGTCAGTCTCGTGCAGGTTACGATGATGTCTCAACATGGCGTCGCGTCTTGAGAAAAGTTGTTGACAAATTGGACATTGATTCATTATTAAAAAAAGACACAAAAGTATACTGAACAGTGAAGTATTCGTTCTTATACTGGTTAGTCACCCTTCTTACGTTGGAGTGAAGTGTTGTTGTTGTTGGTGGTGGTGGTGAGATGGTGGTGGTGGTGTTGATGATGGTTGTGGTGGTGGTGGAGGTTGTGGTGGTTGCGGTGGTGGTGGTGTTGATGATGGTTGTGGTGGCGGTGGCGGTGGAGGTGGTGGTGGTGGTGGATGTGGCAGTGGTGGTGGTGGTGAAGGTGGTGGTGGTTGCTGTGGTGGTGGTGTTGGTGATGGTTGTGGTGGAGGTAGTGGTGGTGATGGAGGTGGTGGTGGTGGAGGTGGCAGTGGTGGTGAAGGTGGTGGTGGTTGCTGTGGTGGTGGTGATGGTGATGGTTGCGGTGGCGGTGGTGGAGGTGGTGGTGGTGGCGGTGGTGGTGGTGGTGGTGAAGGTGGTGGTGGTGGTGGTGAAGGAGCAGGAGATTAATAGAAGACAAATCCTGTTTCCAGTCATACATGTTTATTGATAAAATATACGCAGATAAACATATTCTTACAAAGAAACACAAAAGATATGTTACAATACAGTAGTACACTATCAATGTTATGCTTATACAAACGAATGTCAACATTTTTTTCGTCTAATTTGATACAGTAGATGTCGTTGAACTTAAACCACCGAATCCTCCAAAACCGCAAGGTGTTGACCTAGTTGTTGATACAAACGCGCCAAATCCGCCTATTGGGGGCGGTTTTTGTTGAGGAGCGCCTACTATTTTAATATATTCGCAATTGGGTGACCACTTGTGATGTTCTCTCAATGCGATGTCCGATCTATCCCAGGCGCTTAATTTTACGTGACATCTGAAACACTCGCACAAGTCTGATTTCCCACTGTAGTATAATCCCGCGCTTGCCAGTTCGTACTTATTCGGGAGTAATTGTTTTGGATACGTATCGAAAGTCTTAAGTCTACTTTCGTAATATTCCATGTTTTGGTTGAAGGATGTACAGTCAGTGGCGTTCATCTTGCTTATGCCAATACGCTGATAAGTATTCATTTATATACACACATTAAAATCTGATTGGCTGTTATTTTTGGCATGACGTTATTCATCTATTTATGTTATTTATAGTCACGAGATCAAAATCATTGGTCAAATAATTCTTTTGTCTGATTGGTTACATTTAGTCCGTAATAAAAGAGAAACTGCTTTTAGATTGGACAATGTCATTTCTAAATTTAGATCAACGCATGCGTATGATGTATGGCATTGGTAACTTCAGTCATTTGGTGATTGAACGTCATAGAGTTAACATCATTAACGCAGTAAGTTGAGTTTATATTTCAAGTACAGTATTTTTAATGAAGAATGTTTAATAGAAATAGAGCGTTTATGCACTAGTGATTTTTAGTCAGTATTCATAGAGAGCGCCTTAAACATTTCGTACGATACCAAACATGACCGGGTTATATTGACTAATAAAGGTGTAAATCCACATTTTACGCTGGAGTGATTTTACTTCATTTCTCGGTCCCTATCCGAGTCAAGCGATACAAAAGTATACATTTTCTGAATCTAGAGAGTTAATACCTTTCGTTCGATACAGGGTATTGATAAGACCGTTCCGTTGGTTGAGGAGAAAAAATGGCTTTCACGCACGAGTGACTTGACATCCGGTTTGATCGCGAGACTAAAATGTACTCGTCAAGACCTTTAATTTGATACCAAACACGACTATGTTTCGTTCATAAACGAAAAAGTTATGCGCGTTTTTCCGCATGAGTGATTTTGTCTGCCATATTCAAACTCTCCTATCTCAGAAATAGTAAGAGATAGATCCATATAATAATACATTTTCTGTATCTACTCGCAGAGATCTTTCAAACAGCATATAAATCTAAGGGTTTTATGAACTTTGAAAAATTGGTTTAAAAATCGCTAATTGGCCATAACTCGAGAACGGCTAAAAATCGAATCGAGAACCTAGGGTTTATTTCGAAGCATTTGGCATGGTCTATCAAATGAAACAAATATTTTGAAAATCGATATCGTAAAGTGTTGCATAAAAGACAAAAAAGGCGTTTTTTTAGATACATGTCAAAATTTATCCAGTCATCCTTCTCCACTTTTCATTGGTTAATGAAAAAGAGTGGTTTCAAAACGAGGCTGTCTATTTTTAGACGTCATCGTCTTTGAATTTCATTGGTTGATCAAAAATAGCAATACCGGTTTAAACCTGTCGTAACTTGTCATAAATAGTTTGATAGGCAAGGAGTAAAGGCTGGGGTAAGCTTATTTTAGTTATTTTAATGATTTTTACGCATGAGTGATTTCACTCTCGGTTTGACAGTACGAGCTTGTAGCATTTGTCAAGAACTTTCGTTTGATATGCAACATGCCTATGTTATGTCCAGTAACGAAAAAGTTATACGTATTTATACGCATGAGTGATTTTTTCTGCCTTATTCAAACTCTCCTATCTCAGAAACGGTAAGAAATAGAACCATAAAACCATATAGTTTCTTAATCAGCGCGACGAGAGGGATCTTTCCATTTGTACATACATCTAAGGGTTTTTGACTTTTGCAATTTAGGTTTTAAAATCGCTCTTGCGTCATAACTTAAAAACGGCTGAAAATCGAATCGAGAACCCCGGGTCAAAACGAAAGCTTTCGGCTCATTCTATCTTATGACGACTTTATCTCAAAAAGTAAACGGTTGCCCAAACGATGAAAAACTGGTTTATAGCTTAATTGTATTATAAATTTCATTCAAAATCAGTTTACAACTTTCGTATACATAAGTGTATTATAAATTTCATTCAAAATCAATTTTCGCATGAAAAAATAGGAATCTGAAGTGTTCATAAACATCACAAAATTTGACCAGTTGCTAAGGGCAACCGTTTTTAAAATATGCAATCAGTTAACCGTAGCATGCACTTAAAAGGAACCTTATTCAGGGGTACAAAATATGAAGTGTTAAAATATGTTAATGCATGCGTAGCAATTTCTGGTTGATGAGTTTTTACTTGACGGTCGCTGCGTTTAAAAGGATAATAAATTCTTTTGTGATTAATAAAAAGTTATATTTAGTAACGAAGGATAAAGGATTTTTGTTCAACAAAGTTCCGCTAGGTATTGTGAATCTAGACTGAGCGGCGACTGTACTTAATGCCTTTTTCTTTCATTGACACCCGCGTGGGGCTGATGAAATAGCTCCTGGTGATTGTGAAATACCGCGACTAAAAATAGATCATGCGCAGTCTACAAGGACGTTTCGCTATTACAATCATTTCCTAACTAAATGTAGGTAAGTTAACGAGTTATATTTGTATCAATATTATTTTGAACCTATTAAAAAACTATTTTTTTATAAATTAAAATGTTAAGTACGTATCTATTTACAAACATTTCTTTTATCTGTCATGATGGTAATTATCTCTCCGTCCGGGGCCGAGGACCTGACCCTCAATCAAATTTGGCGTCGCGCATGCGCAGTCGTGGCGCCAAACCGGCCCCTATACTACTCATATGGCCGGCACGTTCCTCTTTGCTGCAAAAAAATGGCCACCAGAGCTAAAAATAAAAAAAATCTTGTCCGTCTTTCACAGGTCAAACAGCTGGCGGGATTTAAATGAAACTCAGAATAATGATCAGTGCCATGCCTAGTTGTGCATATCGCCGGCATGTTCCACTTTACCGAAAAGAATGCCCATCAGAGCTATAGATAGAAAAATCTTGTCCGATTTTCAAAGGTCAAAATGCTGGTGGGATTTTGACCAAAATTAACAGGAGTGAGCAGTACCATACATTGTTGTGGGAGACATATTTTTCTGTGACAAAAAGCCCTTCTAGTTCCATATATCTTTGTAAGTTATCATGTTTGTGATCATATCTTATTATACACTGTTTACATCAAATATACAATTATGACCTTATAATGAGTTTTAAATTTAAATATATTTCATTATGCAATATGATGATAACGCATACATTTTGTTATTTGAGCTGAATTCAAAACCGATATCAAATATGATAACTATTTTGTCTATTCTACGTTTTCGTCAAATACGACGTGATTTTTCACGTTTAATTTCTTTTGAATATTGATTAGCCGCCCCATGAATGCTTTAAAACCCACGCATGCCATATTAAGCCGAAAATTACCAGAAACATGAAACGGAATTATAAAATACGGGGTGGCTGATCTATTGTCTTTAGTTCTTTTGTTCTCGACAAAAAACAGGAAATGAGTACTTATTTATTTATTGTATTTTCTCAAAAACAAAACACTGATGGGTTGAACTAATTAGGGAGTCATTATGGTTTACCTGTATTTGATCTAAGGTTAATATTCTTTGTTAAAAGAGTCTTTAAAGGGATTCGTTAGATTGTTAAAGCTTAAATTCACCTTAAAGGGGCCGTTCTATGAACAAAGGCAATCTGTTTTCAAATGTATGCAACCTATTTGTGGAGCCTATTTTGGAGATTTAGAACATAATAGAGTATAGTTTTTTTGTTTTTATCTAAAACAAAATACGATGAAAAATGCGCTTTTAATTTACAAAACATTTTAATTGCTTACCAATTGCAAACTGAGTAAGTAAGAAGTTGAAAGTTTAAACGAGTGTTCATTGTACAGAATAGCAAAACACAAATAACAAGGCGGTAGGGTCCGTTTTGAAGAGACACAATGGGCATACAAATATGACTCATTATGTACAAATTACAATTTATGTACAAATAGGGCGATATCACTATAAACTGAATTCATTAATAAAAAAATATAATGAATTTATAAACATCACTCATTATCAAATAAAAAGACGAATTCACTATGCACAGATGCTTTTCATTATCAGAAGCAACGAATTTCAAATATTATACATAATGCACAAATAAAACAGGTTCACTATGCATGCAGAATGTGTTCATAATCAGATGCAAGGACTTTAAAATATAACTCATTAAATTTAAATGGTGTGAGTTCTTATGAAGAGAATTAATTCAGATAAATTTTATTTAAAATATCACTAATCAAACGTTGAACAGGACGAATTCATTATGAACAAAAATTATTCATATTCAGAGGCAACAAATTCAAAGTATCACTTTTTAAATTCGAATAGAAGAAGTTCACTGAGAATTTAATCTATTTATATTCAGATGCATCAAATTTAAAATATAACTCATTTAATAAAATTAGGACGAGTTCAGTATGTTCCTAAACAACTCATTAACAGCAGTATCCCAACAACAAATATCACTCATTTAAAAATTCGTACAAATAGGACGATTTCATTATGCAGAGAATGTTGTTATAAACAGACGCAACGATTCTACAATAATGACTCACTAAATACAAATATGACAAGTTCACTATGCTAATTATGTATTCATTAATAGACACAACGAATCTACAAATATCACTCATTAAATACAAAAAACGATGAGATAACAATTATATTTAAATTGTATTAAAAAAGAGAGAGCGAATATAGAAAGAAATTAAATTGCACTCATAAGAAAAATGTTTTAAAGTATAGATGCCCTTATCAGCATGACGTCGATTAAAATATTTCTTTATCATAATGACAATCAAAATCAACCAGTATTTCATAAAATGAGAACTAAAATAACTGATTATGTTTCATGAGATATATATAATTATCAATTACCTTGTATATTTCACACAAACAATCAAGGAAAAATGAAGAAAGTTGTAAGTGAAAAATGTAATACGCGCGTTGTTCTTGTTATCAATTATGATGTCACATAATTATCATATTCATACATATGATGTATACTTTAAAGAATAAATACACATTCATCGGCGAATTTCAATTAGAAATGTATGGTTAATCCAATAATTTATAGAAATCCTTATTACTTTATTGTCGACCCTTCACGTCTGAGATATTGCTTTTCAAAAATTTATTCTAGAAGCTAGTTTATAGAGCACGCTTGGCATTTGCTATCAGAAACCATGGAACTCAAGTATTATGCTGTTTTTGTTTTAATAGTAGTTTTGCCAAAACTATTGTTTTGTTTTAAAATAAATACAGGGATTTTTAAAGTCGTGAAGAAACACCCCAACGTTAGAAAATGCGCCGAGAAGATTCTTCAAAAGGTAAATTTAATTCAATTTTATTCTGTATTAATTTTAATTTTTTTGTTCATACTGAAAAGTGAATGTTTGCATTTAGGTCTATGCAAGTGAGAGTTTGTTCTTACTTTTCACAGTCGTAACCTTTGTTGGACACAGCCAGTTTGATAGCTTCAGCACAAAAAGAAGAATCTCTGGCGGGATTTGCACCTATTCGAGGGTTGTAACTGATATGAAATTAGCATCATTCATTATATTTTATTCTCTTCTCTCTACAAACTTAGTTTTCTGAGTTTGTCATATAATACCTTCAGTTCGAATCTATATAAAGTCATCTAAATACATACATAAAAGAGTTTTTTTTATCTTATTTAAATATTTCATGTCGATCTCGCCCTTGATAAAATAATTATATTAAAAATGAATAAGGATAAAATCATCAATAAACGTGATGATTAGAACTTAATTAATTTTATTACTTAATAGTAGTGATAGCGATACAAGTCTATACTTTAATAAATACGGTATTCTCATTGGCTGCCTGTCAAAATTATTAATAAAAATACCTCGTTGATTTTAAATAATCATTTGCTTGGAAGCTTTCTTACTGGTAACACAGTGAAAAGAGACAGGTAATGTTCGGTTATAATATAGTTATGTGATGAGACAAAATATAGTTACACTGTCACATAGAATTGTCCGCTTAGTGTTATATATGAGATATTGTCTTGCTGTCTGCAGTGTGAGTAATTTTCTAAGGCGAGGGAGATATGTTACGAAATGCAACCCGTAACGTTTATTCATTTTGTTACGAAAAACGTAAACGTAAAACAAATCATCTATACTTCATATTAAACAAAAACAATGGCAATAATATTTACGCTGATTCGTGTTTAAAGTACAATTTATCGTATGCTTACAAACACAAAAGGTACGAAACTCCTGTTTGTTGTTCTCTATTAGGTCCGTGCGCTTCAATTTAATATTGGAAAATGTCAGATTTAAAAAAGGTATTAGTTTCTAGTCCTGTAAAGCAATTGTTAAGCAAAGTATGACTTATCATAAAAAATGACCTCTCCAGACAAACATATCTTCTCTAAAATTGACTGCTCCAAAAATTAAAATCCAAGATGACTACTTTATAAAGACAAAGAAGGAAAAAAACTCGTCTAGAGTGATGTCCTCCACTAATATTATGAAAAGGATATAATCATTTTATTTACATACTTACGGTATTACCAGTACAAATCCAATATAGTTTATTAGTTTAAATGATGAGGAAGTTCAAGGTTTGTTTTTATATATATTAACAGGAACTTTTACCCACAAAACAAGAAATATTTAAGTGTTTCATAACCGTGAAGATAGAAATAGCGATAGATCGGATGAATATGACTGGGTTTTCGAAGCAATAAATATTAATTTCCAAAAAATACTGATGACTCTGAATTGTAAAGAAAATTATTTTCTTACATTAACTTGTATATCGACAAACACATTCATTTATCCAATTGTCAATTATTAATGGTTGATGTATGGATTAGCTTCTGTAACAGGGTAACGATTGTTTACATTATTAAAATGTAGACACCTTTTTTGAAAGCTTATCAAATATATTTCTTTCGCAACAGGATGAATATTCAAGTGGAAGAGTGCACGAGCTAACAGGAGACTGCGAAGGTCTGAATAGTTCGGTGAGCAACAAGAAGACATATGATAAGGGTTATGCCTATATTGAACAGCTTTCATTTGAAAAACAATTTTCCCCTCCGGTAGGTGTTCAATTATTTGTTATGTATGTATGTATGTATGTATGTGTGTGTGTGTGTGTGCGTGCGTGCGTGCGTGCGTGCATGCATGCGTACTTGCGTGTCTAGATCATTGTGAATTTAAACTGTCATATATCATCAATCACTTCATTATTTTGGTTAAAAGATAAAACAATCAATATTACATTAAGGGGTAAATGAAGCACACACAAGTTTTACATATTGTAGAAATTAAATATCATAACATCAACTACAAACTATGAATAATTAACATATGCTCTTTATTTAAACATTTTAAAGATAACATTTTTTGCAATATTTCATCTTTTCCATTAATGTTTATTTGTATGTTGTTATCACTAATCAGTGAATAAGGGATATTTTATAAAAACATGAAATTCATCTTCTAATTAAAGCGGTTTTCACCTATTTTAAAGGTTAAATGTGTTATGTTTAGTAAAAGCATTGTATATTATTGTCAAATCAAACGAATCAAGGTGAAAAATGAAATTTGCAATCGTTAAAAACATAAGAAATAAGGAACACACCTCCACCGGTCCGCTTTCTATATGTCAAAATAAAGTGGACGATTCATTTCCCGATCTTCTATTTTTAGAAACGAACGTCACTTTCGCGTTATTAAATTCTCTCGGGACGTAGTGTTAAAGAAGGCTTATTAATAACAGTGATATGATGTACTTTTCAAATGTTAAGTTATATACTTAGTTTGAAACAACACACAATTACATTTCTAATAGAAAATAAAAGCTGAAGGAAGGCTGCTTAAGAACAGTTACACGAATATAAGCCTTTCATAATAAAGAATTGCTTAAAGGTTGTGTGTGCGTGTGTGTGTGTGTGTGTGTGTGTGTGTGTGTGTGTGTGGTGTGTGTGTGTGTGCGTGTGCGTGCATTCGTGCATCTATACTCGTATGTCTATATATGCACTACATATAAAGATATATATCGATATTATAGGTACCGATGTTCTCTCCCTTCGAAATTCCAGATTTGATGTATGGTATGATGAGAGGTAAAGTCCTGTCATTCGTGACAGACAGGGTCCTTGGCGCGTAAGATTTTATGTACAAATTGTCTTATGTAACACGAAGTTGCTTTCTCTTTAGTTGCATAAATTAACATATTATTTTTTTGTTAATCATATGAAATATTATATCATTTTGCAATATTTTAACAAAGCTAACAGTTTTATTATTCGTAGCCTAGTAATAAATGAAAAATAAAAACGTGTAATTGTTCCTCGAGTCGTCATTACATTATGCACAATACAATTTCTTTATCTTAAGCCTAGGAAAATGTTTTTATATCATTTATATAGTAAAGTATCATAATAAGATTTACTTTACTGGCAAAAAGCAAGCTTATATCCGTTACACAGCATACGAACGACTGTTCATTTAATTCATGACGGCATATATATAATTTTCTCAACGTATTAAGAAAAAAACTAATATCATTTGCTTTGATCAATTTTTAGAATGACGATAACATTTGCTGGCAATGTTGTTATGAACGGAACTATTCCCAACTTCCCCCAAAGCAGTTTTGTAACGCATATGTAAATACATGTTTATTAGTTTCATTGTTTATAAACAATTATGGCTTAGAAAGTAATCATTACAAACAACACTTATAAGTGTTTAAAAAAATCGCCGTTTTGTTGGTTATTCGTTGTGTTTTTGTTTTTAAATAGACTCCTTCCTGCTATATTTTTTTTCTTTTGAGAAAAATATTCTGAATAACGTTTACCCCGCAGGAGCCTTCACACTGGTTTTAAGCTCCGTTTTCAAGCTCCGTGCACGGAAATAGTATTTCAATTCTATATACAAGAAGTCTGAGAACAACATGGCAGATGGTTAACTCAATACATATACAAGTAACAATCAACTAATATATTATTCTCGAATACTTTTTATAATAAACATTTCTTATTTTTATTTTATGCCGTGTTGAAAGATTCTGTTTAGACATACTTTTGTCTGTATAAATCAATACTTACATTGCAAGGGCACTCATGAACGGGAACAGCAATAATGTGTACAGTGATCCTAATATGTGTACAGTGAACAATTGGCTCCAACTAAAGAAACTACGTTTTTCTTTCAAATTCCAAACAAATGTCAGCATGGAGGTATTGTTTACATATTTAAGACTGAATCCATCAATCCTAGAATATATAAGAATGATATTTTCTTATTCAAAATAATACAAAAGCTGAAATTTAACATTTATTTGACAACTGAATCATGTAATTACTTGCTAGCATTCTAGATGAAAGTGAAAAATAACTGATACCTGTATTTCAGGAAAATGTCAGTTTCATATCGTATTTGTTATTGCTCTTTTTTAACAGACTTTCTTAAGGGAACTCCATTGAGGTCCAAAAGACTCAAACATTAAATTTGATTTTTTACTTAGACCTATTGGAGTGCTTGAAACAGAAATATATTATAAAAATATTAAGAAATATACTCAAAAATAAAATCAAAATTCGTATATTCGTGCTATTCTCAGCCCAATTCGAGTGACAAGTGTTGCATCGCTTTTGAATTTTGGATCATGTATCGCAATAAGAATTAATATTCCGGAAAAACAGAGTGAGCGAATGATGTGAATGTTAGCACACAAATTATTAGCCTAAACCTTCATCTAGAACATTAATCTCCAAAACATATCTACTGACCCGTAATGTCTAAACACCTCGGTAATGTCCCTTTAAGACACATCATTAAGATGTCATACAATAGGGCTTATGCACACCACCATGACCATTTTCTTGTTTTGCAACACGCATGGCTATAATTTTAATGTGATAATTTTTACCATGTTAACTAAACATAAGAGGACAACACGTTATGTATAGCATGCAGTTTCATTTTCTCTTTGTCTCTCTTTGTTAGAAATGAGTACACAAACATCTGCTAATTAGTTTATTTTCTTTCCTTATAGGTAATCATCAAAGATTCGACCTTGTGCAGGTTTGACATAATGCAGGGCAATCTTGGCAACATAAAGTACTTGTTAGTGTCAAATGAAGTGCATTCAATTTCTTTCGGTTTACATACCTTTATTTGATAAAAACCTACGTAAGTTAATAATGCCTCGATGAAAATTTTAAGTGTTTTTTTTTTAATTCTAAAACGCCTATGAATTTAACATTTAGAATAAATGTAAAAAACTGAACACACATTTACTTTACAATTTTCTAAACGATGCAATGTTGATTTTGAAAAAGTTACTTCTTTACATTTTATTTATCATACAACATTTTCCACTTATTATTTTCATGTTTGCAACGAATGTTTCACCCAGATTTTTATATTCATTGTTCAACCAGAGGTTCCTAGGAACGAGACAGGAGGCATACTTGAATAAGGACTTGAACATTTTCCACTTATTATTTTCATGTTTGCAACGAATGTTTCACCCAGATTTTTAAATTCATTGTTCAACCAGAGGTTCCTAGGAACGAGACAGGAGGCATACTTGAATAAGGACTTGGCAGTATTTTGGGAAAGATAAACATTTAAGTAGCTTTGTATGTGTTTATGACTCCCCAATTATATGTAAGAAAATTGAAAATCAAGCATTGTTTTAATTGTCAAGAAATCATATTATTTTACTGATAGTTAATTAGGCATTTTTGAAATTGTTATCGATCAGTTATTTGGTTTAGAGGAATTGGACATATTCTGGTATGTACTCATTCTTTATGAATATGGCCCAAATTGATATATTTCAGGGGCTTGATGCTATTCTTTATATTTGGAGCTGTTTATTTCACCAATGGAATGTCATAAATCGTTGAACATTTGTTACTCTCAAAATACAGGCTAAAAAGATGACAATCAGGCATTTGCGCTAAACAATAAAGGAAATTTGAATAAATTTTGCGAAAAATCTAAGTGTATAAATGACAGTTTTTAATTGCACTTGGTTTCTTATAATTTTAAAGGAATCGGTCAAAATTTGAGTTATATTCTGGATGTATATGACCTTAATTGATTCATTTAAGGGGTTAGGAGCGATGACTTCTAATCCAGTTACCTCTCTGGCGTGAGTTCGATCCCCGGGAGATGCTTTGGTAGTTTAGCGCGGAGGAAGGTAGACTAGTACCGGTGTAACTCTCCAGGAACGATGGTTAGGAAACTACCCGCCTATATAACTGAAATACTGTTGGTAAAAGGCGTAAAATGAAACAAACAAACAAATTTTTTTAGGGGAATAATTGCAAATTTTCATTTTTGTGAAGGAATTTTATATATCGTTGAATAATGCAGAGCATCTGTTTTAGTGCTTGTGTAAAAAAATTAAAACATTCGGACTTGTGTATTCAGCCATTCCTCTCTGAACTTCAAAATTGACCATTGCCCATTGCCTCTTAGACATACATTTTCAAGTTCTCATAGTTATAATGGCAATTGACTTTAGTAGTGGAATTCGACAAATTAGACGTTATATACAGAGAATAGTGATTTTGTTTTTGCAAACACATGACTTGATATTAACTGTTTAAATGTTGTTTTATCTATGTAACAGTACAAACATTAAAGTCAGGCATATAAAAGAGAAGCTACTGTCCATACCTCCTGTGAAATAAAAAAAGTCCCCGTTGGCGTATGGGTAATAAACATACTAAATGCAGATGTTTACAAATATTTAACTGATGATTGCATTTTGTAATTATTCTTGTATACCTTTAAAAACACATCAGTACCTTCTAAGCTACAAGTCTCAAATGCTTCTTTTTTAATACTTCTTATCAACTGGCAGACTAATAAAAAGTTAGATAATAAGCTAGCAATTAGAAAGACATTTTGAAAAAAAAAGTTTATGAGAATTCAATGATAAAATCTCGTTGGATAAATCAGATGCAATAAATAATACAGAAATATATTTTAATAGTTAAGTGTTAACTTTCAATATTCCAGTATCTGATACAAGATTTGTCTTCAGTTTTTTTATTGCAGTTATCTATTTATTTTATTTTTCTAATAAATCACACTACCATCTTGGAATAAACACTTTGATAACATTATTTGTTTGTCTTTTTCGTCCTGCCACTTTGTAAGATCATTTTTCAAAAAGATGATAAACAATGTTAGACATATTAACTACTGTAATGTTAAGAGTTAGTTTATTCTTATCATGTTCAAACGGTGACATATATGCATGAAATAGAGATTTGAAGGCCCAAATATTGCAAAAAAGATATTTTTTTAGAAAAGAGACGAAGATCGAAATTTTCGTCACCTAAACTTGTATATTCACTAAAATTTGGCATTTTGACAGAATTATTATATATATAACACATACCATGTTGAAGTAACATGACCTATTTAGTTTACGAATGCATAAGCATATGCATTAATAAAGATGCATGCAACTTATAGGACAGTTTTAATGGCAAAATGTAAAAATTATAATAAAAACCTTTTTATCTTGTGAATGTACTTCTATGTTTCCTCCGTATGAAGGTCATCATTAACGAATAGCAGTATAGATAACTTTTCAGTATATCAGCACGTTCTATAAATAAGCGTTAATTTTTTAGAAATACTACTCCATCTGCTCGCAATATTTCTATTATAAAGGGAATATACCCTGATCTTCCCCTTGGCGAGCTTTCCGTCGTACATGTAAATATATTAATTTTATTGTATATAAACAATAATCGTTTAGAAAACAATTATAATTTACAACAAGTTCAAGCATTTCCAAATAATGCTCTGAATCGCCGTGTAGTCGGTTATTTGTTGTTTAAAAAAGACTCTTTCCTGAACAAGAAGACTATGTTTCTTTTATTTTGAGATTTTTTAACACAAGAATATATCAATTGTCCAATGAGCAATATTATTAAAGTGCAACAAAAGTAAAACTTTTCAAAAAAAAAGCATTTCTGAGCTACAATGGCCATTAATTATTGACTGACGTCTTTGATTTTTACAGTGCATAGATCTCTTTTCTGTTGTAGCGTTTCTTGTTATTTTGGTTTGTGGTAACGTAAACTGAGACACAAACATACTTTAAATGTATTATTTTCTGCATTAAATACATTGATTTAAATTCTGTTAAAACTACGTTAGCTAAATTCTTTTGTTTAGTATGACATTCTTCCACATACTAACCTGTCATAGATGTTTGTTTTTACCTTAAATTTCAATTAATAACATATCAATCAGGAAATATTCATGACAGTATTCTTTTACAAACTGAATTGTTTTGCTTTACCCTGAATATTTCGTTGAAAATATAAAGCTTGAATTTATACACGCGTGAATTTTATGACAAAATTACTAGTATTTGATTTTAATAAGATAATGATGACCAATATATTCGGAGCGATATTATCATATAATTATGTGTATTGGAAGATAATGTAGCGTAATATATGAAAAGAAAGTAAGTATATTACTTACAGTTTAACCGAGACTTTTAAAAAATAAAAGTAAAACATCCAACGTTAGCTGGTTCAAACCGTAAAGACGAATGAATAAGTTTAAACAACACTTGAAAAAAATATTGACAATGGTTGAGAGTTTTTAAGGAACTAAGCAATTTCAAATTATTCAGCTTTTCAGAAAAAAAGAAAGAAAACGACAATAAGAAACACACATTATCAAACGAATCAAACGTGTACTGATATTAAGGCTGGGCGAGTATCCGAGTACTCGGATAATCACGAATCAAAATGAAAAATAGAGTACGAATATTCTTTAGTCAAGAGATCGTAGATCGCGATCTTTTGTGTTTATATACTTTAATTGTTTCTCACACTCTAAAAAATAATTACAACCATGAATGATGCGATGTTTACCTAAATACAATTTGCCGGTTTAAGACAGGAAGTAAACAAACAAGTTCCATGATGCTGAGCTAGGAAGTCATTAGTTTCGAAACAGGAATCACTTTATCTTTATTGAGCATTATGATTTTACATGAAAATTAATAAATATTTTAGTCGCTATATATAGATTTATAATAACGTGACATGTATCGAAGACGGTTCTATTTTTAATAATCCAAAATTTGCAAACTCAAGTTAATAATTACGACAGTGTGACTTCACACATCCAGTCTGCAACAATGGCTGAAAAGGAGTCGCGAAGATATAGTAATCCTCCAGCAAAGTTTACCTCTAATGTCTGGAAATACTTTGGTATTTCAATTGAGAATGAGATAAAGAGGTTTGTTAAATATGCCACGGCGATATGACCTGTTTTTCTTTGGGGTCCTCCTGGGCTCCTTGCCGCTGGCGCTTGTTGCTGGGTCGGGTGGGGGCTGCGTTCATTGAATGCCGCCTTTCCTTGTCGATCTTGTTTATCATATTTTACACCGGTGGTACAACGAACTTGTCTAATCACATGAAAAGACACCCCGGAATCGACCCTATGTCGAAAGGTGATGTTTGCTCTTTTATTACTTTACATCACTGAATATTTTTTGTTATGTTAACATAGTCCTGTATATCATATTTTTCATTTATTGTTTTACATTTTGTTTATTCATTCATGATATCTTCGACAAAGTGAATTTATAAACAAAAGCTAATAAGAGTACTATTTAACAGTATATAATTTTATGCTATTGCCTCCGAAAGAACACTTATTTTTAGCAATATACCGGAACATCAAACGTATATCATACTATAAAATGCATGAAATTTAATATTAAGGTATGTGCAAATAATCTAATATGTACATTTGAATGAGGTAGGATATAACTAATTATGTTAGCTTTGAGTCTGCCTGTTATCGTGCTATGTAATTTGTTCTGAATAAAAGAACAGAAAATTATTAGGTCGGAACTTTAATGTTACATGTACTCCATAAGTTTAAATAAATAAATAAATAAATTAATAAACAAATACCTAAATACATAGTCTTGGAAGTATTTTAAATAAATAAATAAATAAATAAACTATGTCCTATTATTCTTTTTAATCAAAGGAGCTGTCAAATTACAAATGTCAGCAACAGAGCCATCTACAAGCACAAGCTGTGTAACTGCTAGCCAATCTCCAAACAATCCAACTCTAATAAAATATGATAAACAAGATCAACAAGGAAAGGTGGCGTTCAATGAACGCAACCCCCATATGACCCAGCAACAAGAACCAGTGGCAAGGAGCCCAGGCGGACCCCAAACAAAAACAGGACAGGGCAAAGACAGAGCACGGACGGGTTAATCATTAAATGATAAATAATTTGAAACTGATTAGGAATTAAAAGAAAAGAATAATATGCCCACAAAGGGGATGGGGACAGGAGACCGGGGGAAGGGGGGGGGGGCGTTAATCAAAGAAATAAAAATTAGAGGCACTGGGGAAGATACTTACCCTGGACGAGAAAACAACAAGGGACACAAGCAAAAGTGTCACTACAACAGTAAGGACTTATGGCACAAAGATGGAAGTTGGCTCCATCCAAAGTTTAGAGAATAACTGTAGGTATTGCCCGATATCTTATGGATGATATGCGCCCATTCAGCACTGTAGATTGCGAGGCTTTTACTATTTCATGTTTAAATGTTGAATTCTGCTTAAGCCGGTGCTAGGGGGCGTGGGCGGTAACTTGCACTTTCCAGTACCTTCCATGAACAGGCTCAATTAAACCGAGCCTGCAACATTTTCAATTTTGCCGTGTTGGGCTTTCTTTAGGGATTCTGTATTTATCTATTTCAGAAGCATGATACACGAGTGTGAGCTTCGCTACAAATTCCCATGCAGACAAACATTTAGTGAAGACGTAATTCTTAGAGTGTATGATTCTGTACCTTCATGTATCAAAGACGAATTGCCTGGAGAGAAGCTATAGCCTGGACAACAGACAGCTTGATAAGTCTGTGTATCAAGCTACCCTGGCGCTATCTGCTGACCAGCACCCTAATGCCCCGGTCACATATTAACGGATAATGCCACGGAAGAGCTACGGTCTAATCGTTCACGGATTACTACGGAAAAGTGAAATTCCGTAGTCCGCTACGGTTCCCGTACGGACACACAACAGTATGAGTACGAAGTCCGACGGATTTACCACCAAAGTCCCCCGGAGAGACACGGATTGCTATACGGACCGACACGGTTTAATACGGAGCGACACGAATCAGGACGGACGCACTACGGATACACTACGGTCTGCTACGGTATAAGCACGGGTTAGTACGAATAAGTACGGTCTGATACGGAAAAGAACGTATTGATACGGAGAAGAACGAATTGCCACGGATCTATACGGACTTAATACATCCTTCCTCAACCTCTTGCTTGCTCATTTTCAAAATGCCTCAAAAAAAAAAAAGAACACCTAGAAAACGAATTGCAGCGTTCAACGATTTTGGCGCTGAGGAATCAGCCTAATCGCGTCCGCAGGTCCAATTAAAGTGAATTTCTTGAAGGACGCTGGATCCTCAACAAGTTCGACCATGAGAGCCTCATACTAAACATGAAGGGGTCTTCGTAAAAGCCCATCTCTAGTCCACCATCTCGTCTGTCTTCTCTTACCTGATTAGATATGGACTAGTAACCATTAATGAAAAATGTTGATCAATACTGCTTCTCTTTTACTTTTAAGATTTGCTGCTTATCTTAAAATTACATTAATTATCGTGATGTTTATGTAAAAAGCTTGTTAATTAATCTTATTATCACTCAAGGGCCAGTGTCCGAGGCTTATGAGACACTTCGTTTTATGTACATATTTACTCCATTTTTACGATCTAATGTTTGTAAAATATGTAACATTAAATGTTATGTAATTATATTTCTTATGAATTTTAGTACGATATTAATATAAATTTACTTCTATGCATGTCATCAAGCAACTCGACCACTGCCTCCGCATTCTCAGCCATTTCAATATAAAGTTGCAGCCAGTAAATGGCAATTATCATTTATTAAATGTTTGTGCAAATACATATGTCTGTTTTTAACAAGAAGGTAGTATTTATACACTTGAAAAAGTACATGATACTTAATTCATCCGTACTAAACAGTGGTGGGCCGTACCATTCCGTACCGTTTCG